AATTCTTACCGTGGAATGATGTACACAGTTAGCTTGTATAGGTTCTCCACAAATACAAATACATATATTTAAGAATAAGAGTGAGGCTTGGGAAAGATACATCATACTTTTCTTGGAGAAATGAAAAGCTTCTTCAAATATCAGTCAGCTCTCTGTGAAAAGAACTACAGTGCGTAGAGTCTTCAGTTAAAAACTTCTGGAAGTTGTACAACAAAAACAGAAGCCAATACTTAGTAGTTTCCACACCCTCGTTTGAAGCAACACCCTTCATACGAAAAACAAGGTAGCCTCTAGAGATCCTGTCATCTTAAGTTATACAAACACTTATTTATTACTACATGCCTACACTATAAATCCATGCTTTTGGAATAAAGCAATAAATAGATATATAAATAAGTAAAGCAGGAATTTACAAATTCATCTAGTTTTTATGAGTCAGATTTTTTTTTTTTTGGCCTTGGAAAAAATGCTTTTGGTAAGATATACCTCAATAATTGTGAACTGGTTTTCATAAAAATGGTAAGAAAGTAGAAATGAGTGATGGAGTGGGAATAGGATTACATCGGAATTATTTCTACAAAATGCTAAGTAGAAATTTAACCAATGTGGACATCCAGAGTGGATAATTCAGACTTAAAATATGCTTCTAACTGAATTTAGCTATCAATGATGCTCATATTAACCACATAAATGCCAAATTTCCAGGACTCTAACTGATTTGTATGTTTTTCATCTATATAGCTAAAACTTTAAAAATTCTGAACATAAAGGGAACTATTTTTATTGAAAATTACCACTCTCTGAAAGTTGATAGACCAATGTCTGTGATGAGTCTTCAAATTCTCCCATACAATGGCTCTTTCTCTTCATTATATAAAAATGCGTAAGTCTTCACTATCCTAAAATTAAGAGGCAAAGCAAAACTTTTCTGAGTCTTGCTTCCTGTTCAAGGTATTATTTCCTCTATTTCCTTTACCAGCCTAAGAACCACAGGACAAAGATCATAGTTTTTATGGTACTAGCATAGTGACTGGCATACAATGGGCACTCAAATATAAATTAATGAAGTAATATCTTAAACTAACTATCTATTCTCTGACTTTACTTCCTCACCACCTACTATTTAAACCCAAACACTCTTATCTGTTATTCTACTGAAACTTTCTCGGAGTTTCTCCAGTGAGGCGAGGGGGTGGCTGGGAGTGCTGGCTCCAGGACAAGATTGCCTAGCTTTGAATCTTGATTCCACCACTCCCTTGCTCCGGAAACTTGGGCAAAGTTACCTAATATCACTATAGCTTAATTACTTCCTTTGTAGAATGGGGATTGTTGGGTAGATTCAACGATTTAATATATGTAAGCACTTAGCACAGTGCATAAGAGACAAGCACTCAAATGTTATGTGGTGTCATAATTATTAGTATTATTATTATTATTTGACTTGATCTATAATATAGTTCTAACATTGCTGACAATATTAGTGACCTTTAAAATCTATGTTAGGAGTAGATGAGTATATATCTTTAATCTTAAATTACTAGTTGAAGTCTTTTGAAATTGAAATGAAGATGGCAGAACTTCAGCAATTTTAAATCAGCCAGACATTAAAATTCTTTGTTCTTTCACAGCTTGCCCAGAGACAAATTCAGGAAATTCTTACTTGAGCAAAAAAATACTTCAGCAGAAGATGGAACAAATAGCCTTAGCCAAGATGAAAGTGAAACTCAAAAAATTGATCATCACAGGCTGCCTCACATAACTCACAAGGTTATACCAGTATTCAAATTGGATAAGTTATATGAACGTGCTTTGTAACCATAAAGAGGTCATTATTAGTTTCTTTTGTAAATAGAACATCAATAACAATTTATAAGACCATGTTAATGAAGTTGGGTGTCTAATAGACATCTCATATTTAACATGTTTGAAGCCTGAATCTTATTCCTTCTCCCATCCTCAACCTATTCCTCCCCATCTTAGTAAACGGCAATATCCTTTATCCAGTTGTTCTAGTCCCAATCTGAGAGTGGCATTTGATTCTTTTTTTGTTTGTTTCTCTCACTTGCCACAACCATTCATCAACACATCTTATTGGCTCAACATTAAATTTTGAACACTTCTTGCCACCTCCATTACTACTGCCTAGTCCAAGTCTCCATAATCTCTCACCTAACCTACTATAATAACATTCAAACTAACCTCCTTGTCTCTAGTCTTATCAACTATAGTCTAAGTTTCCCCACAGCAGCTACAGTGATTCTTTTAAAGGTTAAATTAGATCATATTACTCTCCTATTCAAAATTCTCCAGTGGCTTTCCCACCACTGGAAGTTGAATTTTATATTAATTCCTTGCATACTATATAAGTCCCCACTGAATCGGCAGTACATCCCCATGTACTTCTCCAATCTCATGTCTAGCACACTTCCTCTACCTCACTCTGTTCTAGACCTGGTGGTCTTCTTACTGTTCTTTGAACACAACAAATATAACTCTGCCTTCAGAGCCTTTTATACTTAACGGCATCCTCTGCCTGTAATTTATTCTTCATCCAGATATTTGAATGGCTACCTTCTTTTTTCATTCAGATCTCTGCCCTAATTTCCCTTCCTCAGAGGCCTTCCCTTAGCACTCTATCTAAAATAGAACTGACATCAGGCTCTATCTCCCTACACTACTCCATTTTTCCTCATAGCACTTTTCACTACCTAATATATTCTGGTGGGAAAGAAAAATAAATACAAGCTTTATGAGTACAGAGACTTTGAGGTTTTGTTCACCACTGTTTTCCCAGCACCTAGAAAGTGATTGGCAGAGTCTCAGTATATATTTCCTTAATAAAAGAATGAATTATTTCATGATTTTGAAGTGTGAAAGAATCAAGCATTATGTTTAATACAGATGTCTCTTTTGACAAAATAGAGATTTTAGTACAATATTCTTTTTTATTGCTTGAATCATACTTGCCTTTTCTGTCAAGAGATAAAGTTTATAAATGCCTCAAATTATCTTTCTATTATCCAAATATCTAACTTAAAGCCTTTTTTTCAGGATCTAGGACTATATAATTTAAATAAAACATGGAGAACCTGCTTAATATTTCAAAGACAGAAAGAAATAATTTAAAGGTCAAAAAGTAGTTCCCGTGATTAAAAAAAAATTTGGCAACATTGTGTTTAAAATTTATTTTCTTCTTGGTTATCACTGTAAAGCAACATTAGAATGAAGAGTGTTTATATGAGCAAGCATTTGCAGGTGATTGTGAAACCAAGTCACGCTTGCTAATATACCATGCAACAAAGCAATAAGATGCCTAGGAGTTATGAGATACCAAACTAATAGCAAAAGCCAGACTTTCAGGGGTCCAGCCTGGTGGTGCAAGCGGTTGGGTGCGTGCGCTCCGCTGCGGCAGCCTGGGGTTCGCCGGTTCGGATCCCAGGCACGCAGCAACGCACTGCTTGGCAAGCCATGCTGTGGCGGCGTTCCATATAAAGTGGAGGAAGATGGGCACGGATGTTAGCCCAGCGCCAGTCTTCCTCAGCAAAAAAAGAGGAGGATTGGCAGATGTGAGCACAGGGCTGATCTCCTCCCAAGGAAAAATAAAAAAAGCTAGACTTTCAGGAAGGCTAAACATGCCTAAATACTCCAAACAGCAACCACAATCTTCTGTTATTCGTACTTTGCTCTGCCCTACTTTGCTTATGCTCTCTCCTTCTCTCTCTCTCAAATTGGCCCTAGAGAATCAGAGTTGTGATGACAGCAGTGCGAATACAATCAAGGTCAATGCCTGAGGCAAGGCCAGCTAAAAACTTGCCAAGATAGCTAATTGTCCAAGTGTACACATTTAGCCTTTCTTTGCCAAGATTATATATTCCGTCCTCTTGGCATGGTCCTGAAGGGAGCTTGCATTTTTTGTGTTGTAAATCAAAACTGGATTTGTCGTGGCATTTTAAAATCTCAGTCACCAGAGCACATTCCAGTTTGAGTCATTGCATCCAACTCCGCAAAAACTCTGTTTTAAATTGTTTCAACTGGAAAAGTTTATTATTTGAACTCTAAAAACGAATAAATTGATTCACAAAGGCAGAGACATTTGAACGGTGGGTGAGTGATCTTTATTTGGTTTGTACATTCTGCTTCCAATCTGGGAGTTTTTCCACCAAAAAAATCCTGGCTGAAATACAGTCGGAATTTATATGTACTTTTATAATGGGCTCCAACAAAAAGTTTCAGCCTTTTTTCAAATTTTCGCTTGCGTAGCTATTAAACTGATGGCTCAAAAATTCATTTAATTTTCCATAGCTCCTGAAATAATTTCAATATGATGATTTCTTTTGGCATATCTTCCCAGGAGATTACTAGGTTAAATCTGAACTTCTTTCCAGACCACAGACGCTGTGATGGTCTATTTCCAGAATCTGGCAGCAAGGCGGGCACCATTAGGAGCCTTTGAAATCTGTAGACCTTTTAAGTAGGGAAATGGCAAGGAAGTCGACTGCAGAGGGAATAGCAGAAGCATCATGGAGTGGGCGAGAAAATGCCGAGGAAGGAAATTTCCATTTCACAAAGCCTTTTTAAAGAGATGCCCCAGAAGGGCTCACAACTCAAACTCCACAAGAGGATTCGGTAATTAAACAACCAATTCTACTCTGAATTATCCCCAAGGCAACCCTTTCAGAATCCCCACAGCGGCATTTGCCTGTATCTGGGGATTTTGCATCTCACCATCTTTCATCACTCTCAATACCCCCACGAAAACGTCGTCATAAAAAGGGAGGTAGAACTGAGTCAGCTCTAACGCACAATTCAACTCTCCTCTCCTGCAAAGACCCGGGTCCCCGGGAATGCCAAGGTTTCTACCGCCGCCAGCAGGGCAGCTCGGAGGAGGCGGGGGGCGGTACGGGAGGGGGAGGTGGGCCGCCGCAGCCTCCTATTGGCTGCCTTGGGCTCCCCGCCCCGCCCCGCGCCGACACCCTGGTTTCCGTCGCGAAGGACGCGGCGTCGGTTGGTTGTCAAGATGGCGACGGCAGTGGTGGGGTTGCTGCCGCCACCTCTGCCACTGCCAAGCAAGGTCGCCGCCACAGCTGCCGTCGCCACCACAGCCACCAGCGTCGCTGCGCGGGAACGAGAGCTGCCGAGGCCAACCCTTCCGCGCCCGTGACGCGGGGCCTAGAGACGAAGTGTTGGGAGGGGCCGAGGAGGAGGAGGAAGCCGGAGCTGCCATGAGGGAGGCGCTAGGGGCAAGCGGGGAGGCGTCTCTGAGGTGAAGGATGCTGGCCGGGAGGCCCGGAGTCCGGAGCGCGGTGGCAGGCCTGGGCGCTGAATCCTCGGACGCTCGCGACAGAGCCCCCCTCAGCCCTCGGTTGAGCGGCGGGCGTCACCGACCTGGCGCTTACCTGTATCCTTCCCAGCCGTGGCTGCCGGGGTAGCGGTGTTGGAAGCGGGGCCCATCTTTTTCCCATTAGATTCCCGTTACCACTGACGCAAGGTGATAGAAACTAGCCAGTCATCTTAGTGCGGATATTTGCTTTAGCAACTGTCGTTGCTCCCCTTAGTCCTGAAATTACACCATTTTATCCTGTTCTATGACGCTCTGCCCACCACCTGGTTATCCCACCCCCATTCAACTTTGGTGTAACATTTTTGCGAATTTTAAAATATATCAACCGTATGTTCTCTGGGGGTTGTTTTCTTCTAGAATTATGCCATTAAGTTCTTTACTTCATATTATCCACCTCCTGATTAATCATGCTACTTGGAGAGAAGAATTCCACCAATAAGTAAAATGTTTTGCTATCCTGAAGAAGTCCGTTTTAACAGTTAACCTAAAACACTCCTAATTCATTTACCAGAGCTGTTAAAGCCTAGCACAGCTGGGCAATTGTTTTGTTTTCCATCCTCTGCCCGGTCTGTTGTCAGAGAGACAGCAGAGAGAAAATGAGAAGCAAAGGACCTGGACGCTTCACGCTGGGTTGTCTCTGACCTTTCCCTAAGAATTGGTCGAGTCTACCTTTGATGTTGCTGTTGGTTGCACTGCAGAAAGTTGAAAGAGTGAAAGAGTTTTGTTTTCAAAATATGTAAACCATGTTTATTCCTTCAGAGAATGCTACAACAATTAGGATTTAACCTTTGTACTCTCAAAGCCCTTGGTTGGCAGTGATGGTGCTGTATGATCATCTTATTCTTGTCAGAGAATGAAGTGTCCTCTCTTTCCACGTTAACCCCCATTTTCTTATTCCCATTTTCTCCCACTTATGGGATGTTGCAATTTTAACAGCATTCAACAAACAATTTTAATTTAGTGCCTACTCTTTGACAGTGCTAGGGGTACAACTCTAGTGAGGAAGACAGGTATGTACAGAGCTTCATTAATGGTCAAGGTCCCTCCTCTGATCATCATGCTTTCCTCAAGCTTCCATCCCTTCTGTCTTTTCTTTCTTTGGCCAAGTTCTCAAAATAGTAGCAGCTTCTAGTTCTTCTCATCTATTCATTATTAACCCCATTCACTTTGGCTTTTGCCATTGCTGCTCCCCAAAACTGTCCTCTCAGAGATGTATTCTGAAATAAACAGTATTGTTTTCTGTATGGATTTAATTCTGTCCCCTTGACATTGTATTTTCTTGGACACTCAACTCCTGTAACACTGACCCTGATTTATATGTCAATCAGAAAATAGGGAAGCATCGAAAGTGGCTCATTGACAAAGTGTATCTTTCCATCATTTTCATTAATGAAATGGTCGTAGACTTAATTTTTTTAAACTTATGTGGTATGAACATTGATACAAACATCAAAGAAAATATTTGTAAATAGAATTCGGCAGTACTTCAAATGAACAAAACCAAATAGACTTAATTCCAGAATTGGAATGATGGTTTCTTGTAAAGAAATATATTACTAAAAATAAATAGTAAATATATGGTTAAAATTAAGAAAGTTGCAAATGATCATTTCAGTAGATGCCCAAGAGGCTTTGATAAAATCCAACAACTTTTGTTTGTGTGTATATATCAATATATATAATATATAAATATCTACATATATTTTTTGCTAGTTTGCATATATATTTGCTGGCATATATAAAAATATATATAGTGAATATATATATTGGGATAAAGGAATTTTTGAACATAATAAAGACTATGACACTAAATCAGGAATATCATTACGTTTCTAGTTGGCGAAACACTTAAGCACCTCTTGCAAGTATTTTGGATGTTCATAGTGTCCGTAATGTTTCTCATTGGATACCTGGTACAAAGTAGGTGCTCAAATTTAATGAATGAATGACTAAATGAAAGAACTGTAGTCTTAAAATAAGCAAATGGCTTGGTAAAATTTCTACATTTGACTTCCAAATATGAATTCAATACTCAGAAGCCATCCAGCTTTCTGGTGAAGATATTTTCTTACTTGAGTCAGAATGTCCTGACTCTAAAGGATATCAAAGGACAAAACCTTATAAAGTTCATCTAATTAAAATTAGCTAGAGTTCTATCATTTCAATCTCTTAGAAGAATTCAAATAGAAATAAAATAAAGTTTGTTTAAAAAAAAAGTGAAAGGTCTCTCATGTACCCTTCACGCTGTGCCTCTTTTTTTCTCATAAATATGTCCAGTCTTTTCCCCTCTCATTTTATCCTAGCACTCAATCCCTACCCAGTTTATACCCTATTCTTGATTATCTACAAATATTTTCTCACTAACATCCTTGGTTCTTTGCACTCATCTCCTTCTGCCTCAACCACCAGTAACTACTGGAGTCCTATTTCTCTACTCTTCACTCGAATAACCAAAATGCTGTCAGAGAAAAATCACAAAACAATAGACTGCCACCACTACAGATTGATGGTGTCCAGCCAACTTCACCTAAACAAGAACAAGGTTCTCTCTTGTTCCTCTTAATGCCTATGGCAGATCTTTATCACCTCCCCTCTCAGTAGACAATCTTACCACTTCATAAGACAATGGATGCCATGAACTCCCTCAAGTCCCTCCCAACAAACAACAGAAACCCGCATACTCCCATCACTACCCCCAATCCCCTGCCCTGTCTTTTTTTCCAGGCTCACTGTTAGGATATCACCTTTACTGTAGAAGGTAAATCCATTCACTTGTGCCATTATTTCCATTACCTCTCTTCTCTGCAGTAACCCTGGATTATAAAGTATTCCGCCTCTCTCTTATAATTTACTTTCACCTTCTCTAATGCCCTTCTTTCCCTACAGCCTTTAGTCTTGGCTATCCTTAAAATTAACTAACCATCAAACCCTTTGAGCATAAGAACCCTTTTAACTATATTCTGATATCTCCTGTCTCCTTATTTTGACTTCTAAAAAGAGTAGTCTAAATCACTGTCTCTGCCATGAGTCACACTTTATACTACGTTCCAAAATAAACTTGAGCTGATAAAAAGGGTAAGTATAAAATAAAATTGTAAAAGAAAACTGACAGAAAATAGAATTTCACATTTTTCATGTGTTTAGAGGTATAGTAACTTTACTGTTTGAGAAGAAAGAAGACATTTCAAATGAAAAATATTTTAAAGATAACTCATTTAATTTAAAACTTTAAAGGGAAATTGTCTAAATAAATAAAATAACTATCGGGAAAATACTTGCAGTAACTGTGATAGAGGATTAATATCTACACTATTCTATCTCCATTAATTTTACTGAAATTGATTTTTTTTAAAATCAAGTTCTCAATAGATAAATGGCCAGTGACTCTGTACTAACAGTTCACCAAAGAGGAAAATAAAAATTAGTAATCAAAAGTGGAAAGTGTTCTACTTTGCTAATATGTACCTTAAAAAACATGATTTTCTACCTGGTCTTTTGTTAAAAAAAAGAACTACCCTATGCTCATGAGGTTTTGAAACATATACATATGTTTCTAATTACTTGTAAATTTATATAACCATTTTATAAACCAATTTGTCTATAAGGCACAAAAAACTATAAAAATGCGTATACCTTTTGTCCTAGTATATCTAGCTAGAATTTTCTCCTAAAATTTCTCTGAATGATTTCTTTTTATAAAATGATAGCTTTTATTAAGCCCTTACTATATTCTAAGCACGATGCCAGGCATTGGAGTTATAGAAATGTAGAGGAGGCACATATGATGTACTCATGAAGGTGTCAAGTCATCCCACAGGGGCTAGAAAAAGCTTCATAGGGGAGGAACTGCTTTGAGGTATGCTCGAAAGATGAGGAGAGTTAGCCAAGCTTGTGCGGGGAGATAATGGCATGACACATCATGGCTTGTTTTGTTAATAAGTATCTTAGTGTGGCTGGGCATAGGATTCATGCAGGGAAATGTTGAAAAATGAAGTTGAAAAAACAGACTGGGTTATAGAATGCTTTATATTCCAAGAAATTTGGAATTTATCATGAAGGTGATAGAGAGCTTTTGGAGAACAACAAAGAATGAGAAACCAAATCAGATTTGCGTTCAGCTGGCTTTGTGTAGGTTCAAAAGGAGGCTGGAAGGTTAGGAATAAGGAGATGAGTTGGAGGACTACTGAAGTAGTCCAGGCAAGGCATTTAGAGCGCCTGAGCCAGGGCTGTGGAAGAGGGTACAGAGAAGAAGAAAAAGAATCAGGACAGCTCTAATAAATTTGGAAAGAATATAGGTTGTATGATTCATGGTTATTTGTGATGGTAACATATTTAAAACAACCTAAATGAGCTGCAATTAGAGAAAGACTAAATTGGAAGAGGGGGAGATGAGAATGAGGTGGGGTAGATTAGGCTATGCTTTTAAATTATAATCATTACGTATTACTCACCCAATCCTACAACCCATAGTATTCTTGGGTGTTTGTTTTTTTTCAATTGTTAAATGTATGAACATTACCTTCCTTTGAACAGTGATTCTTAGGGAAATATCTTACCTGTATAATACAGCTTGTATGAAAAAAATTTAACCAGCCATCTAATATTTTTTAAACTTGAGTACCATACTTTGAAAGATGCAGAGACAGCAGCATTCTTTATAACTCAGCAGGCAAAAATTATATTTATATATAGAGAGAGAGAAAGAGAGAGTCATTTGGTTAAATTTGAGAATATATAGTTGTCAGAACATTACAAACATTACATTTGTGATTTTCTTTATGTTCTTGTGATGACATCTCAGGCATGTTAAACAGAGAACAGAATTGTCTCCACCTGTGTCATAGTCCTGCACACTCTCACCTGAGCCAAAGCAACTTCTCCCTGTCCTCCCCCACAGTGTTGCTCTTGTGTGCCCTGAAAGGAAGTTGCACTTGCCTCCACTGTCGTGTTGTGACTTTTAGTCGCTAGCCATCTTGTAGAAATCAGACTCCTCCTAATAAAGTACTCTGTTAAAGAAGCACGAGATAAATCTTGAGCTGTTTCTATGCTAACAAAGAACTAGATTTCCTTCCTTTTTTGTTTCATTTTTATAAATCCTTCAAAAGAAACTTTAAGTAAAATATCATATGTGTGAGGATGTGTGGGTATGATTATCTTGAGATAGTGCAAAATTTTATAATAAAGGTAAAATGAATTATGGCCAATGGTATAAAGATTGTTAAATAGCAACATAATTGAAAACAAATGAGCTCCCATTAGCAAAGTTTCAAATGACCAAAAAATACAAATAAACATGATTGTTTTGAAATATATAGTAAAGTTTTTTTCATAATGTTGATGCTGAAGCACCATAGGATCCTAAAATTAACACATTTTGAATTAACAAATTATGTACAGCATAATTTATTACTGAATGTATTTCTTGTATTCTGTTTTACCATTAATAATTTATGTCATATAAAAAACCTTGATTATGTTGACCTCTTAAAAAGAATTTTGAATCTCTATTTTTGGGGGAAAAAAATTTAAACAGGCTCTTTATTCTAAAAAGTAGGCATACCCTGCAATATATAACTTCAGTACAATCTCACATGTATCTACATATAATGAAGTAGTACTGAATAATGGTGAAATAATTGATTTTTTTAATTCAAAATCATTAAAAACAGAAAATACTGTGATAAATTTGGTAATGGTGTTCAACGACAGTTGAAACACAACTAAATAAATTGGGACATCAATTAACCACATCAATACAACTTATTTAAAGAAAGTTTAATTTTATATAATAAATTTCAAATGAATGGATGATTAGGATAACTAAAATATTTTCTTCTCTGGCAAACTTCTGAATAAACATTGCTATGCATGGTTTTCCTACTGGTTTTTTTTTGTAATTTATAAGTAAATCACTAAGTAAATAAACTATATTCCCAAACTCTCCTGTTATATTGCTATTTCATTTTTTAATATTTGAATATGATTTCATGCAATAGATTAAAGGATTTACTGAAACATTTAATTCATCTACTTTTTTTTAATTTTTAATTTTTTTTTTTATTTTTTTGTGAGCAAGATTGGCCCTGAGCTAACATCTGTGCCAGTCTTCCTCTATTTTGTATGTGGAACACTGCCACAGCATGGCTTGATGAGCGGTGTGTAGGTCCACGCCTGGGATCCAAACCCGTGAACCCCAGGACGTCGAAGTGGACTGCATGAACTTACCCACTATGCCATGGGGCCAGCCCCAATTCGTCTACTTTCTATTAGAGAAATATAACCTTCTTACATTTTCCTCTATATGTGCCTAAGAGAGTACCTTGTTAATAATTACTCGAATATCTGTGTAATGAATGAAAAGATATGCAGTCTCCTTGTCAGTTTATGAAATCTGAAAGTAATTTATTTTTTTTCCAGGGAAAGTGAGATATATCTTCAGTTCTAATACCAAGTCAGTATTTTTTTACATAAAACATCTGACAGTCATATACTAATACTAATGTGTACACATACTAATTGTTCCACAAAAAATCATTACATTATTAGTATGAGGCTATAATTATATTTATCAGATAGCACTGACACTCATCCACTAAAGATGTAAACCATTGTCCTTAACTTTATGCTATCATTAGAGATATGAAAATCCATCTAGAGAAAAATTTAGAAGAAGAACGCCAAATATTACTGCAGCAACAAAAAATATGTCGAAATCGAGCACGTAGATATTTTGTGGAGTCAAATCGAAGAAGAAAGTAAGTAATTGTATTTTATCCAGAAGTGTATAAATTCAAAGTCATTATAAATTAATAGTTTCTCTACTTTGTAGCATTTTATGAACCTAAGTCATGACAGTGCTTTATCTATAAAACACTGATCAAGATTTGTATGGCTTTGTAAATTTTATTATTGTTTTTCTGCCTAAAGCACAAAGATAGTGGTGTATTATCTAGTTTACTGTGACCATAGCAGTCTTTTCTTGTCATAGAACTTTTTATTATAGTGTCATATACACTTCTTAAAATGAATATTAAACATATTATTGTCTTGGTTTTTATATCATTTCATCATAAATTAAAAGATTACCAATTAGCATTTAGTCTCTAATGAATATAATTTGATTTTAATTTATTATTCACTTCTATATAATTTTTCTATATATGCTACCCTCATTTATCCAATCAGAAAAATGGGGGAAATATGAATAATGGTGGAAACATGATAGAAAGAATTTTATAAATGACTACCATAGAAAAAGAGCTTTCTAGTATAAACTGGAAACTAAATAAGGTAAAAATGCATACCATCTAATCACTGATTAAAATTTTTCAAAATTTGTTTGAATTATTAGATTTTTTTTTAGACAAAGTAGTTATGCCATTTTTTAATGTTGTTTTTACCACCTTGTCCATATTTCTACAATACATGAATAGCAGAAAATCCCCAGAGTTTATTAACTACATCATTGGGCATATGTTGCAAATCCCATTTGGGGAATACAAAATTGTTTACCTGTAATTTTTTTCTGGCATTATATTTCTCTTTAGATTAACTCTTTTATTGTCTGGTGTAGTTGAAATTATTTAATGAAGCTTGTTTGTGTTTTTGTTTTGTACTTGTGTATTTCTGTTTTTCTCCTACATTTCAGTTCCTGAAGCCTATAAAAGGCACATGACAGGTGTTCAATAAAGATCAATCATCTTATGTAAAAAGGGTCATGGGCTTTAGAGTCAGAGATCTAGGTTTAAATCCTAGCTCCATGAGTTAGAGCAAGTTATTTTCTTTGAGCCTCAGTTTCTCATTTATGATTGGAATTAATAGCATCTACTTCAAGGGATTGTTATGTAGAGCAAAAAAAGTATTTTTTCCTACTAGTAGAGACAGTCTCCTTTCACTATTTGTCGGTTATACTTTGACATATTTTGTGCTATGACCCCAGTAGTACTCAAAAGATGTTCATAGCACCAAGTGCTCTTTATTTACATTAATTGCCTAAAATCACACACATTTTCATTTTCTTATTTACTACTTCCTTGTTTTTCTATTTGCCAATATTTTTCTTGTATGTTTTTATCACATTCTCAAGTTTTTTATTCTCTCACTCAGTGTCTATACAATGGAGTCTCTTTTGTTTCCCTCCAAGCCCTCTTCCGTTCATCAATAGGTACTGCTCCAAGAGATACTGGTTACCTTTAGGCCTAATGCACAACTGGCATCCCGAAACTTCCCTTTATTGCTCTTAGGAGTTGGAGCCACAGTTTCTTGCCTATGATAGCATCCCTGTTTTTGTTTTGTTTTATACCATTAGTTTGCTGGAGCACATCCTCAAGTAACTTTCTAATATGCTGCTTTGTAGACCAAGTAATTTTAAGATACATACACACATAAAGAAAATTAATTTATTTCCTACATATTTTTAATCTTCAATTTTAGAACTATCTTTTGGTAAATAAGTAAATATTAACTCAACAAGCATAGCTGATTGAGTACCAATGATTAGATATTATATCAGAAGAAAAAATTATTCTGTTTAATCTATTCTACCATTAAACTTTAGAAATGGCAATAATCTGATTTAATGTGACTTCATGAAGAGAATAAATTGAAATAAATTTTAAGAAGAACCCAAAAGGAGCCTTCAGATAGTTTTAAAACAACGTAATGTAAGCATATAGACTTAACAGTTCAGATCATCAGACAAAATTCCTATGTAATTAACTAACAGAATAAGAAAGAAAAGGACAGCATAGGGAAAATTGCCCAAATAAAGAGAAAAGGAAACACTACCAAATAATAGATGAGGGACAAGCACTTTGGAAGAGTCACTAAAATTTATAATAAAAAAGATTCCTTAAACATCCTAAAGGCAAAAAAAAAATTACCTAGAGAATCATGGAATGAATTACTTGGTGAACATGAAGTTTGGGGTAGCTGCATTATCTATTTGTGAGAATGATGGAGTTTGGATTTCACCATGAAGCAAGAAAAATGTACCCTTAGAATAGATAAGCAGGAATTGGACTTGAAGCAGTAAGTCATATTTATCAAACCTCCATATACGGATGTATGGTATAAGCTAAAAAATATAAATAGGTTCAAATAAGTTTAGGTATCCATAGGTTTAAATATCCATGGGTATATTATTTATAGTATATTCATAATATATTAAAGGAAACAAAGGAATTTAGGATATTTGGAAGTTATGTTTGTTGTAGAGGACAGCCATTTATTGATGCTCAGCTGACATTTACTGGGTTTCCTATACTGGTGGATAAAAAATAAAATGAATACCTGGAAAAGTAAAGTCTTATTAGATAAGCAGGAGTTAGCCAGAGGACATGAGGGGTGAGGGAGAGAGAACAATATGTGAGAAAGCTTAATGTTATGAAATATAAGACAAGAGTTTTATGTGATTTGGGCACAGGAAAATGTGGAAGGGTATCAGGAGTATCAGGAGATGAAGCTATAGAGTTGGTGAGAGACATTTCATAAAATAACTTTTGTGCCGATCTAAAGAAATTAAACCCTATCCTTAGGACTCTGAGATGCTGTTGAAAGAGTAAATTCAGGTAAGTGTCATGATCAGATTTATATTTTAGCTCATTATAGCAAAGAGGGTAGAGGATGAATTGAAAGCATAGGCTGGAGGCAAAGACAACAGGTAGAAAGCTGTTATACTGACCTAAGCAAGAGAATGTGTCCGGAGGTAAAGTTGGGATTGAGTAGGTAGGGTCAATAGAAGTCAAAGGTCAATTAAGAGTGGTACATAAAGAGCACTGTCAGAAATGAAATATATATAGATTATGAAAACTTTAACATTTTTAATATCTTCCTAAATTACAATGCACATTACTGTAATCTTTTATACGATGGTTATAAATATAGTTTGATCTTTTCTTCATGCCCTAGAATCATTATTATGAGTATCAAATAATCTATTCTGTTATATTACTGTATTACCCTTGATCTACTACACTTTATTTGGTTTACAATAGTAGCCTTTAACAGGTAAGCTTTGTGAATTCTTCTGTTAAAGATTTTCTCCCTCCCTGTTAGCTGTAATTTCTATTTTTTAAATTAAACTCTTTATTTTCAGATAATTATAGATTCACATGCAGTTGTAAAAAATAATACAGAGATCCCAAGATACCCTTTACTCTGTTTCCCCCAGTGGTAACATCTTGCAAAACTATAGTTCAATCTCACAAGCAGGATAATGACATTTATACAGTCAAGACACAGAACATTTCCATCACTATGAAGATTCCTCACATCGCTCTTTTATAGCCACACCCACTTCCCTCCTACACCTACTTCCTGGAAATCACTAATCTGTTCTCATTTCTACAATTTTTTTTTATTTCTTGAGTGTTATAAAAATGGGATTATTCTGTATGTAACCTTTTGGGGTTGGCTTTTTTCACTCAACACATTTCTCTGAGATGCATCCCAGTTGTCATATGCATCAGTAGTTCATTCCTTTTTATTGCTGAGTATTATTCCATGATATGAATGCACCAGAGTTTGTTAACCATTCACTCATTGAAGGACATCTGAGTAATTTCCAGTTTGGGGTTACTATGAATAAAGCTGCTATAAATATTTATGTATAGGCTTTTGTGTGAACATAAGTCTTTATTCCTCTGAGATAAATGACCAGGAGTACAATTGCTGGGTCATATGGTGATTGCATGTTTAGTGTTTTAAGAAACTGCCAAATTGCTTTTCAGAGTGACTGTATGCAGCAGCAGTGTAAGAGTAATCCAGTTTTCCACATCCTCACTAGCACTGGTGTTGTCACTATTTTTTTGTGTGTGTGTGAGGAAGATCAGCCCTGAGCTAACATCCATGCTAATCCTCCTCTTTTTGCTGAGGAAGACGGGCTCTGAGCTAACATCTTGCCAATCCTCCTTTTTTTCCCCAAAGCCCCAGTAGATAGTTGTATGTCATAGTTGCACATCCTTCTAGTTGCTACATGTGGGACACGGCCTCAGCATGGCCGGAGAAGCGGTGCGTCGGTGTGCGCCCGGGATCCAAACCCGGGCAGCCAGTAGTGGAGCGCGCACACTAAACCGCTAAGCCACGGGGCCGACCCTGTCACTATTTTTTATTTTAGCCATTTTTATACATGTGTAGTAATATCTCATTGTGGTTTTCATTTTCATTTCCTAATGGCTAATGATACAGAATATCTTTTTCAAGTGTTTATTTGCCATCTGCCTATCCTCTTTAATGGAATTTCTCTTCATGTCTTTTATCTATTTTCTAATTAGATTATTTGCTTTTTTTACTGTTGAGTGTTGAGAGCTCTCTGCATATTCTAGGTGCTAGTCCTTTGTCAGATATGTAGTTTACAAATATCTTCTCCTACACTGGAGCTTATCTTTTCACGTTTTTTAATTGAGTCTTTCCCAGCGCAAAAGTTTTTAATTTTTATGAAGTCCAGTTTATCAGTTTTGCTTTTTATGGATTGTGCTTTTGGTGTCAAGTTTAAGAACTCTGCTCAACCCTAGATCCTGAAGATTTTCTCCTAAAAGCTTATAGTTTTATAAACTATAAACATTTATAGTTTTACAGTTAAGTCCATGATCTATTTTAAGTTAATTTTTGTATAAGCTGTGAGACTTAGGTGAAGATTCTTTTTTTTTTTTTTCTGCCTATGGTTGTCCCATTAGTCCAACATCATTTGTTGGAAAAAGTATCTTTGCTCCATGAATTGTTTTTGCACCCTTGTCAAAAATCAGTTGAGCATATT